AGTAGTCACTGCTTTCTTTACCATTGTGTGTCCCAGTAAATTACAGTGTGTGTGTGTACAAATATTAAATCTTGACCCTTGAGTATGTATTTCTAGTATTTTGTGTGATGAAATTCTAAGTCACACAAAGAACTTCTGCTACATGACAAAGTATGATAGTAGCTTTGAGGAAAAACACTTATACAACAGTCTAAACTGAAGCTGAATTGACACTATATCACAGAACACCATTTTTACATGAAAGAATGATTGAAGACAAACTATGGTTATTCAGACTTGGATACCTGGCAGAATTTGTTCAACAGTAAATAGAGCGAATCTATCATTGCAAGGAATATAACTGACAGTGTTTGTTGCCAATGAAAAATTCAAGGTTTTTAGAGAAAGTTGTATTTTTCCACTACCAGTATTCACCATTATGAGCTTGACAGCTTTCCAATACTTAAAAATTTTTTTGCTGAAGTTGATGATATCAATAAGCTTTTTTGGATATTGCATTATGATATGTGTCAACATTTGGAATATATTCATAACTCAGTTATTCATACTGAGTTATTCATAACTCATCATACAGTTATAAAATCATACAGTTATAAAAGATTCATTCAAAATGCAAGATAGACCAATGAATTTTAATGTAGCACAAAAGGTTTGCTGATAGGGTTTCAGGTTCTACATTGCAACTAACTTTTAAGAAACTAGCAGAGGTTTGCTGTTATTATCAGACAGATATCCGGGACTACCTGAAGAGCAACTAAATTAGTCCACCTCTTCCAACTATAATGTGTGTGAAGATTTTCTTCATCTACTTCAATCAAAAGCATACCTCGTAATAGACTGAATACAGAAGGAGGCATGGGAGTCCCACCATCTTTTACTAAACCAGGCACTAAAATGTAAAACCATGCCAGTATTCCTAGAAAAAAAAAAAAAAACAAAAAACAACAAAAAAAACTTTGTTCTTTAAATATAGCTATTTTTCATAAATAATATATCATTAATGAAAACAGGTAATGGGTTATTGTTAGCTTTAAATAAATTAGTAAGTCAAAAATTTTAAAGTCTCATTTTAATTTCTAATGTAGTGAATATCCCTAGAGATCCTCCATATACGCAAAAGTTATTTAAGTACTCAGTAATTTTGGAGTATGTAAAGGGTTTCTGAATCCAAAAAGTTAGAGCTCTCTTGATCTAAGAGAAATTCATACACCAGTCTTCCGAGAGAGAGATTCTTCACAGCACTGACCATGGGAGCAAGGAATTGGAGTGAGCCTATAGCTTGTTCACTAGGCAATTAGTTAAGTAATAATCATCACAATAATTTATGTAATATATACCATGTGTTCTTGCTGTTCTAAGTGCTTTACTTATTACACGATTGAATTGTGTAATGCTTACCACGAATCTATGAAGAAGGCATCGCTATTACTTCCATTTTATAGATGGGAAAGTGAGCTCTGAGATGTTAAATGACTTGCTGTTAAATAGTGGCGCTGGACTTTAACCTGAAGTCTTACCTCACAGTCTACACGCTTAATGACATTCAAGTTCCTGTAAATTGTAGTGTTTACAGAGAACAAAGCACCATGGAGAAGTCAGGAACAGCAGGTGAGTATCGCACAGCCTCACGTGGGTAGATCCTCTACAAAGAATAAGTTAAAAAATATGGGGGGAGGGAAGGAATTGTATTGCAATTGCGATGACTTGTAGGAAAATGCCATTTGTATACTTCCATGTTATTCCAGATAAATGACTTATGGTGGCTAATAAATGTACAGGAAAAAGAACCAGTGGGGAAATATCAATGAAACAAAATAAAATAAAAATGGCCCTTCACAAAATGGTGGTAGTATGCCATGAACTGAATAGTATTGTTTATTCAATTTTTAATGGCAAGGTTAAAAAAAGCAATGAAAATAACATCTACTCCATACCACCCCCTTCCCATTAAAACATAAACTATGATTGTCTTGAGGAAAATAATTCTCCCCTGTCGGCCACAGCGCCAAACACTTGCCCAGATAACTATGGGAAACAGGCAGCTCTTTCTTTCAGCCTTATTTCTAATCAGCCTCATTTCTAATCAGCCTCAGAGATTCTGATCCTAATCTATGAAGCTCTCAACAAGAAAGGATAGGTGTGTGCCTAGAGCACTTCTAAAGTAGAACAGAATCCCTGGAAGGAAAAGAACCCGAAAATGAGTCTTTCCAGCAAGCTAAAAAAATTGAATACTATGACATAAAACGTGTCCCACCCATTACTAAATCCATATGCCCTTTTATTCCCTCTCTCCATGATTTTCTTTTTGCTGAGAAGGAAATATTTATTTTATAATTCAGCTAGTGTGAGAGTTCAGTGATAGAATGCTAACTTTGTGGCAATGTTTAGTTTATGTCAAGGTCATTTTTTTCATACTTTCTGTTGCCTAGGTAAATCTAAATATTTTACTGTTTTTTTTTTAAGTATTGAAGCAATGAAAATTGTCATTCCTTTCTAAAAACCTCTCATGCCTTCCATCTCATTAGCGCAGTCTTACTGTACATACCTCCTTCAAAATAGAGAATCTTGGCATTAAAATACGATTCTGGGGGCTCCCAGGGATTTTCCCCAATTCCTTTGAGTGGAGACAGTATTACTCCAGTTTCCCAACACACCTATAGCCCTGATGTTTACTAAATTACCTTGGGGACCTCTCTCCTCCCACTGATCAGTAAACTGTGTGTCTCTATAGAGCTGAGTATGTGTAGAAATCTGTCTGCTTTCAGTTGCTAGAACCAGCTTTTTCTGAGGGGACTGATTCCAAGAAGAGGAAGGAAAACAAACGTTGAATTTAAAGCCTGAGCTATTTTTAAGCCTCTTCTTCCTGGCTTACCTCCTTTATGGCACAGGTCCAAACTTCCTTCTTTCCTTGTATCTGAAAAGCAAGGACTAGCTCTACAAGAAGATCTTGCACATGGAATCCACACAGTGAGCAGTTTCAAAGTACAGATGGAGAAAGGGCCCCTCAGGCTGAGGCTGCTCAATATGAGATATCCCCAGATTGGCACATGAGTTTGTGTAAAGTTCTGGAAGAAGTGAGACAAAGTTTCTAAGTCCTGAGCTGCGATCTCATTTCTTCATAGACACATTTGTTTTAAAGTAAAATCTGTCACTTCCTCTTTGCATAGGGCCAGACAAACGTGGTCCAAAGAGAGGAAGAAAGACAAATAAATCTTTTCTATGACAAATCATTTAGTCTAACCCTTATGTAGAAATTATCTGGTTCCTCACAGTTTGACTCATTCTATGAGCAGACTAAAACTTCCCCCAGGTATCATCTTTGGGCCTTTTTCTCTTGGAAGCTGGCTCTCTCCAATGCTAAATCTCATTTCTTCTATTTACCTGTAACATTAATTTCAAGAAGCAGACAGAATTTTCCTTTGTCCTGAAATATAATTACCCATCCTTGCAAAATCATCACACTGCCTTATCTTTACCCCATTATTCAGAATGTCTAAAATTTCTTCCCCTTGGGGTGCTTGGCTGGCTTAGCCAGTGAAGCAAGACTCTCTATCGCAAGGTGGTGAGATCGAGCCCTACCTGGGGATGGAGCCTACTTTAAAAAATAAAATAAATAAATAAAAATAAATAAAATTGCTCATTCTTCTGTCACTTCAGGGTCTAAGTTAATTGAAACAAAATATTTCCTCAGACCAATGACACATCTCAGGGATCAGCAAATCTTCCTCAAAGTATTGCATACACCAGACTTCTTCTTTTTTAAAAATGTTTTATTTTTTTTTATTTTGAACGAGCAAGCACAAGTCGAGGAGGGGCAAAGGGAGAGAGGGAGAGAGAGAGAGAGAGAGAGAGAATTCCAAGCAGGATCCTTCCTGTCAGCGCAGAGCTGACCCTAGACTCAATGTCACCAACCAGGAGATCATGGCCTGAAACCAGCAAGAGAGTGATGCTTAACTGACAGAGCCACCCAGGTGCCCCTACAGCAGTATGTCTTTATACAAGGCTCCCTGTTCCTTAATAGTTATTGAAACTCAAAATGCCATCCTTAACATTATATTCCCTTTTATATGTCTTGTATCTCGTTTAGCTCTTTGCTAGTTCTAGTTACTGGGGAGTTTTTCATTTATTATGTTGCTTTATACTTAATTTGAAGAAAAAAATTTGGATTCCATATACTCCTATGGTTTTCTAATAGTAAGGGAAGCATTTCATGTGTTTCTAATTTTAAAACCAGTCCAGGGGCTCCTGGGTGGCGCAGTCGGTTAAGCGTCCGACTTCAGCCAGGTCACGATCTCGCGGTCCGTGAGTTCAAGCCCCGCGTCAGGCTCGCATCAGGCTCTGGGCTGATGGCTCGGAGCCTGGATCCTGTTTCCGATTCTGTGTCTCCCTCTCTCTCTGCCCCTCCCCCGTTCATGCTCTGTCTCTCTCTGTCCCAAAAAAAAATAAATAAACGTTGAAAAAAAAATTAAAAAAAACAAAAAAACAAAAAAAACCAGTCCAATAAAATTCACTTCATACAATTCTACTGACACCTGTTGTCCTTAACAGTTTCCTGTGGGGGACAACTGCAATATTCTGTTTACAAACAAAATTTCTCCCCTCATCCCAGGGAGAAATGAGCTTTGTGCTCTATCATGAAGAAACACTGATTTTCTAACAGAGCAATCCTGCAGCTCCAAGAGTGGAGACCTACAAAGTGCAAACTTCCCCGGAGGCAGATCTTAGTACCCTACAGAAGGTCCCGCCTCTCCTTCCGCCCCTACCTCCTACTCCGACCCCCCTGTCTGCTCCACCCCGCGCCCGCCTCCCGCCCCCTGCCGGTCGCCCGGGGCGCGCTCGCGGGAAGGGTCGGGTCCGGGCACGGCGACTGCCGACTAGGTCTGGGCTGAGTGCGCGCGTCCTTCCACCTTGTAGGCGCCGGACTGACCGACCCCAGCGGAGAGGGGTGACAGCCTCGGTGCCTCTCTCCGCCTCCCGTCGTCGCCAGGCGCCCGAGGACCATGTTCTCCGGCCCGCGGAGGTGGGGCGCCCGCGGCGACTACGAGCGGGTCCCCGAGGGGCCTGAGGCGCAGGTAATGCTTATTGGTCCTGCGGGGAGAGGCGGGCGGTCTCCCGGCCACTCTCGATGGGGAAAGGGAGTTGGGGAGGGGAGAGCCTCCTGTTAAGACGCTGAAACGCGAAGTGATGGTTTAGAGCCGTGTTTTAGCCGTAATCACACACGAGACACACACACACACACACACACACACACACACACACACACACACACACGCGAGGGCAGTCTTGAGAGCGGCAGTCGAGGAGGCTGCTGGAGGAGAGAAAGGCATCTTTGTTTGAAGGGATGAATAACTCCCCCGTAGTAAACAGAAACAAGCATTTGAGAAAAGAACGAGTGGACCTGGCATCGCTGAAGGAGTAGAGGTTGGAATTAGAATTCTGCAAGCGGTGGCAGACCCCATTGAAGCCGCAGGAGAGACTCGGGATAAATAATGCTGTTAACCGACCGTTTTGGGAGACTGAGGTTGGGGCAACCCAGAAACTGCGGACACTGAACTGTGCCTTACTCTGCCCCCATGATAACACGTGCTTCTTCCACAATAGGAGTCACGTGCTAGGGCAGAAGTACAGGGAAATGAACCCCGTACTTGTGTGTTAGGAGGAATTTCCTTAACAAAAAATTCCACTTGTTTTACTTTTCACCACTATAGGAGACAAGTCTTAGAAATAGCCCCTAACGTAAGTAGTTCTGTAATTCTAAAGAGGAGGAGGAGGAGGAGAAGAAGGAGGAGGGGGGATATTTCAGATCCAGGTAATCTTGTTCTACTCCTGGTTTTTGTTAGTGACTCCAAGTGTCAAATATATATGACGATACTGTTCTGATTACATATGAAATGAAACTATAAACTTCTTTAAAGGTAAAGCAAATTATATGGAAAGTATTCTTTTAAAAGTTTATAAAACATAAATGTTGAATAAATCACTTAAAAATATTAAAGAGCTCCACCAGGACAATACACCTTTTTTATTTGTTAGGCTTAAAGTGGGAAATGGGTTTAACATCACTAATACAACTACAGAGGTGGCAGTAAATCACACACTTGTAGGGAGGGAATTTATAAAACAAATAATTCTCTTATCCCAAATTCCAGTCAGTTCTTCCCATAGGATTCCATCAATGTTTATATCTTTGACTATTATTCAATCTGGATAGCTTTGTGGACCAGGAATCCATTTAGGTAAGATTGAAAATACTAGTTTTAATTGCATTTTCTTTTTGTTATTTCTGTGATGTCAAATTGAAAAAAAAAAAGTTAAAGGTTTCAAAGCATATTGAAAACCTTTTATGATTAATTACATTCCATTAAAACGACTTGATATTTTTGACATAATAGATCTCAGATAAGAATACTACCTACTTATAAACTAAGAACATGGCTTTGTTTTAATATTTATGTATTTATTTTGAGAGAGAGAGAGAGACAGAGAGAGAGAGAGGAGAGGGAGAATCCCAAGCAGGGTCCCTGCTGACAGTGCCAGTGAACAGTGAAATCATGACCTGAGCCAAAAATCGACAGTTGGATGCTTAATTGACTGAGCCACGCACGCACCCCAAGAATATGACTACCTGATAGAGTCTACGGTTGGCATGGTGACCTATGAATAGAATGCTTCTAAATATTTTTCTTGCAGTGATTAGTGGCCATTCATTCATTCCTCCAAAACATGTTTGTTATGAGGTAGTCTCTGGGCTGAAACTGAAAATATAAAGATAAATCAAATATGGTTTTCTGTCTTTCAGAGCAATTAAGTCTAGCAGGAGAGAAGAAACTGTGAGCAAATGATTAGTCAGGAAACAGTGAGGGTAAATTCAGTGAAGACTGAAGCCCTTTAAATCCTTCGTGAAGAATGTGTTGAGATTGCTATGGTAACCCAGAACAACAATATAAGCCTTGAAGGCTGGGATGGGAGGAAAGTAATTATCAAAGTAAATCTTTTTTCTTCCTTCCTTCCTTCCTTCCTTCCTTCCTTCCTTCCTTCCTTCTTTCTTTTCTCTTTCCTTCTTTCTTTTCTCTTTCTTTCTTCTTTCTTTCTTTCTTTCTTTCTTTCTTTCTTTCTTTCTTTCTTTCTTTCTTTTCGAAGGCAATAAATCTTAAATAGGATTGAAGTACAAGTGAGAATTAGCCAGAAGTGAAGTAGAAGGATGTGGGCAGGAGGAAGGGTATCTCTAAGCATCAACAAAAGCCTGTAACAGGTAGAGTTGAGAGTGTGGAATTATGGCTGGGAGATAGAGCGAACTAAGTAGATTAGATCCAATCGCTTAAACTTCTTAGCTGGAGGATCTTCAGGTAAGTTTCTTAAACTCTAGGTCTTTGTTTTGTCTTCTGTAAAATGGGGATGACAAAAATGGTCTCACCACAAAGACATGTTATAGTTAATGAGATAATATACTTTGTACAGAATCTGGCACATAATAATTGATTAAGGAACCAATTCTTTTTGATTTCTGGATGTTTTCCCTTCTCCATGAAGCTGTACTTCCACCTCCGCTTAATTTCCTCCACCAATTCCAGAACTCTCCTCCAGTATCTAAAAGAGAGCTCCTGAAGCTAGGGGTTATGAGATATCGTTAAATGTAGCAGTCACACAAACCATATCTTCATTGGCCACATCTGAAGATTGAACCCAAGGAGATTGAAAGCAGCACGCTGCATTAATCCTGGACCCTGACTATGCTGTGGTCTCATGGTCTGAATACTTCCTGTTCTTCTATCATAATCCAGAAATAACAGGACCTCTATTTAGTTGAAATTGCCCTTAAGTCAGAAATGTTAAGGTATGTTTATGGAATTCCTGCTATATGCCCAATGGTAGATAAGTACAGTAGATAAGAAAATGGCTTAGAAAACAAAGGCCTGTACTAGGCTTGGGTAGATGAGGAAAATGGGAAAGATTTGGGGTAAATAGATCTGCAGACCAAAAATACTGTCAGAGTGAGGGTAAGTGAGTTAGAAGGACTAAGAAATGCTTAGGAGAGGATAGGAGGAAATCAGAACACTGAAAGATACTTTAAGAATTGTTCTGTCTTAGTTTTCTAAATTTTTTTTTTCAACGTTTATTTATTTTTGGGACAGAGAGGGACAGAGCATGAATGGGGGAGGGGCAGAGAGAGAGGGAGACACAGAATCGGAAACAGGCTCCAGGCTCCGAGCCATCAGCCTAGAGCCTGACGCGGGGCTCGAACTCATGGACCTCGAGATCGTGACCTGGCTGAAGTCGGATGCTTAGCCGACTGCGCCACCCAGGCGCTCCTGTCTTAGTTTTCTATATAGATGTTGCTTTGTGGCAATATATCAATAATGAACTCAGTGACACCTGTGCTATGAATTCAGTAAGTATTTATTAAAAACTCATTCATACATTCTTGGTGCTTGGTAAGGCTTATTACCTTCACCAGATATTTTACCTGTTTACTGTTTATTTTCTGGGAGGTAAATATGCTTGGAATTCACTGTGATAAGTTCAGTGTAAGATGCCTGGCCCACATCTAAGGAGTCTGTTTAACAGAGGACTCAAAGGACCTCATAGAAGATGCTTTCCCATGGACAGTGGGCCTAGACAGAAAGTTAAATCAAATACTGAGTTCTTGGTCTGCTAAAATAACCCTCTCTAGAAGCTTTGTAAGACATGGGTGCTGAAACCAACCACCTTTTTTTTTTTTTTTTTTTTTTTTTTTTTTTTTTTTTTAATTAGCTCATGATTCTCTGATCAGTTGGAACATGACCTAGTTTGGGTCAGCTTGACTGATCTCTGCTGAACTGTTTTAAGCACTACTGCCAGCTGGAGGGTTGAATGGTGACTGGGTAGTCTACTCATATGTCTGGCAGTTTCCAAGCCAGGATGACAGACAGATGAGCACCTCAACTCTCTTCTCCGGGGTCTCTCATCCATTAGCAGGCCAGCTTAGGATCAGACACGTGGTGCACTCAGGGTTCTGAGCACACCAAGCCTCTTGGGGCTTAGAATTGGAGCTCTCTTTGTGTCACTCCTGATCAAAATAAGAAGCAACACCAGCTCAGATTCAAGGGGTGGAAAATGGAGTCTACCTCTTGATGGGAAAAGCTGCTAAGAATGTGTAGCCATTTTCAATCTGCCACAGACATACATGTGTCTTGGATGTGAATAAAATCTTTTCATTGGTGGTAAATGATCAAATTGGCAACTCCCTGTGAAAGAAAATGTGCTTCCAGGTTAATTGAAGAATTTTCAGAATGTTTTCCACAATAATATGTGCACTTATTTTCCAAATGATACGTTTGGTAATAGTAGTGATGATGATATCATAGGTCACAGGAGTGAGTGGTTGTTTTGGGCCACAGTGTGATGATGACTGTTTACATTTGTCATTGCATTTACTTTTGCAACAGTAATATCAAGGTAGATAGCAATTGAGTAAATTATATATATCTTCAATGATTTATCGTATGTCATTTGCTACAACTCAGCAGATTTGGAATAAATAATGTTCTCACCTCTATACTCAGGACATTTTGCTGTACAGGATAGAATTTTGGCACTCACTCCTTCTAGGATAAGAATTTTTTAAAAACATGGTAAACACTTTATGTATGAAATCAGAACTGGATTAGAGAGGATGTATGATAAAATTGTTAAATATGGGACAGTTTCTAATAATGAGCTTGACTGTGGTGATCAGTTTTACTTTTTAAAATATAGACATTGATGCTGACTCTAAAAATATAAAATGATTACTTTTGAGGCCTTCTTTGTTAAAACTTTCTTTTGGTTGAACTCACCAGATCAACAGGAAGGAATTTATGGAAATGTTATAACTTCCCAAAATAATATGTAATGGTGATAAATAGATAATTGTTTATGTATTTATACATTTATACAAAAATATGTAATTAAACACACAGAAGTAAACCAAATGACTATTAGTCTCTTATTTTTCTATTTTCCAGAAAAAGACAAAGCTATCTTTAATTTAGTGGATAAAATATTTTAAATTTAGCTTATATATATATACATATATATATATATCTTCACATATATACACAGTCATAGAAATTTGAGGATATATATATACACACACAGAGAGAGAATGAGAAGTAGAAATATCAGAAATGATTTTCCTTTCCTACATGTTTTTTTGCTGTGAAAACGAGTCATAATGATAATTTTGGGAGAAATCTTAAAATGCTTGTAGTCTATCCACCATTCTAATATCTTAATTTTATTCCTTAAGGATTATGATATGAACATAGCTGCGATTGTTAGTAAATGAAATTATTTCATGTGTACTTTTCCACCTGCTGACAAAGATATTTCAAATATAAAGTAAAGGCATATTCTTCACAGACTACTTGTTGTATTTTTCTTTCTAGAAATGCAATCCAGAGAAAAGTGCTTCATTCTTCAGTCGGATGACATATTCCTGGTTTAGCAGGTAGGAATTTTACTAATTTGTATGTAACATACTACCCTAAGGAAGATTCCAAGGGAAACGACACCTAAATGTTATTCCTCTAAGCATGAATATATATTTTTTAATGTTTATTTATTTCTGAGAGAGAGAGAGAGAGAGAGCGAGCAGGGGAGGAGCAGAGAAAGAGGGAGACACAGAATCTGAAGCAGGCTCCAGGCTCTGAGCTGTCAGCACAGAGCCCTATGCAGGGCTCAAACTCAAAAACTGCAAGATCATGACCTGTGCTGAAGTCGGACACTCAACTAATTGAGCCACCTAGATGTTCCAGCATGAATATTTTTATAGAATGACTTTGTGAAGATTTTTTCTCATAGAAAACATTTTATTATAGGGGCGTCTGGGTGGCTCAGTCGGTTGAGCGTCCGACTTCGGCTCAGGTCAGGATCTCGCAGTTTGTGAGTTTGAACCCCGTGTCGGGCTCTGTGC